AATCAAGCACTTGTGTGTCTGTCTCAGTGTACCTGAGCCCCTGTGAAAGCCAGAGGAAGACATCAACAGGATATCTATGTCTTTCTTCCTCTACCCCCTTCTGCCTCATCGCCAAGAGACAGAATCTCTCACTGAACTCAAGCTTGCCATTATGGTTAGACTGGCTGGCCAGGGCGCTCCCTGGATCTATCTGCCTGTCTCCAGTTCCCGAGGCTGGAGTTACAGGCATGTGCAGTTAGTTCTGGCTTTTATGTAGATGCTGGCGATTCAGATTCAAGTCTCCTTGCCAGCACAGCTCTTATCGACTGAGCTATCTCTCCAGTCCCCAGTAATACGCTTTTAAGTATGCAAATATATTATGGGAGATTCTGTGGGGAAGATGCACAAAAATGACTTCAAAGACAAAAAAAATCCATGTATTTTATAAAATGGATACTATCACATTAATGTTTATAAATAGATGAATTTAAAAGTAAAGAGTATAATTGTTTCAAAGTACTAATATTTTAATACACCAAAGATTACATACTTCATCAGTTATTTAACTCGGCAACAAATATGAGATGTCAACTTTAAAATATGTCACTCTTTGTCTCTTCAAACTTCTTTTATGGGTCAGCATATTACTGCTTCATACATATTTTCACTTACTCTGGTGATGTACTTAACAATCTCCCTTTTATGAACAAGAAAACAAGCCTGGAGAAGTCGGGTAGTTCATCTCAGATAACTAACTGTACCCCCCAGACTATAAGGCATATGGTCACCAGGCAAAGCTACTCCCCAGGGGCAGCACAGCATATAAGAACTAGTAAAACAACTGATTTACAACTGATAACCTTCAGAACTAGTTAACGATTGATTTACAACTGGAAGATAACAATCAGGAGTCTAGTTAGTAAATCATGAAGACATCAGCATGACCACTTAAGGTAAACTGCCCCAACCCATAAACTGATTTACAACCGGAAGATAACAATCAGGAGTCTAGTTAGTAAATCATGAAGACATCAGCATGACCACTTAAGGTAAACTGTCCCTAATGGCCCAGCTTCGGGAACTCCAACCAAACCTCCACTCTACCTGGCAGCTCCGGCTTTGTCCAGGTTTCTGACACCTAACAGTAATTCATCTCTATATCTACGGTGCGATTTCTACACCACCATTATCATCTCTTCTAACACACTCACTTTCCTACATTCGCATCAGAACAGTCCCAGCACCTAAGGAATTTTTCTTCCAAGGGACTTATATCTGTGGCTATAGTGAATAATTTCCATAGAAATAGTGGTTTGTGGGGGAAGGAGTGGGATGCACACCTTTAATCCCAGTACTGGAGAGGCAGAGGCAGGTGGATCTCTGAGTTCGAGGCCCCTGGCTCTAACCCTGAGTTCCAGGACAGCCAGGGCTATGTAGAAAGACCCTGTCTTGAAAAAACAAAAAACAAGCAAACAAAAGGGGGTAATGAAGGAGAAAAGGAGAGCTTACTATTTCTCAATTTCTATCATTAACTAATAATTTTTTCTTCTATTATCTTTTCCACAGAAATGCTTAAATTTTCATCTAATTATACTAAGCAAACACGAAATAAAACCTTTGCAAAATAGTACGGCACTTAGAGCAAAACAGCAGTGAGAGGCATCTTTGAGAAAAGCATCTTAGTGATTCACACAAAGTACGTGCTTTTAACTGCATCCGTGGACTGCACTGTTAAGCAGAAGATAAGTGAATTTAAGTAATATGAGGTGTATCCTTATTCTATTAGGAATGCCAATTACAAGTCAGAGTAAATACATCGGACATTCTAATCTAGAAACATTTTGTCACCTTTCACAAATGCTCTATGTAGGTGGAACAAGCAAATGATCAGTTAGTAAATCCAAATAGTGGCATGTAAAACCACCTAAACAGATGAACTATTCTTCCCAGTTTGAAATCTGTTGCACGATTTACATTTAAAACGACAAATTCTTTGGTGCTAACATACACACAAGCAAGCCCCTCATCACAGCACACAACCAGGGAAACACACATTGACTGAAATCGACCTAACTGGACAGAAAGATAGGTGTGTTTATGACATAATTCAGCTGCTTAGTGCCATCTGGAAATGACTTCACCAATATTAAAAAAAAAAAAAAAGTAAAAGCTCCAAACCGTTCTTCCTAATTATGAAATCTAATCTTCACTGAGTAACTGCCATATGCCTAGTCATTTAATCCTGGCAAGAACTCCATGCAATCGCTTTTTACAGCTAGGAAAACTGAAGCCCAGAGAAGGCCAGTGACTTGCTCAGAGAACAAAAACAAGAGTTGAGAATTAAATTCGGTCTGTGCTTAGCCTAAGGTGTGTTCTTTCCAACATCTAAGCCCCGAAGCATCTTCATAATGTGAAGGGACCCACTCACTAGCTAGCTATGCCAACAAAAAGAATAAATTTTCACAAAAATATATAATACTATTAGAAGCCCACCACTGAGGGCACCGATAGTCTTCCAACAAAACATTCCAACAGCTGTGTCCCTTTGAAGCTAACCCAAATCTGGTGAGCACTCTGAAGTCAATCCCCAGCTGAAGGAAGCTTCCTAGTCATGCTTTTAACTCGTTACTTCATCCTTCTCCCTCCCGAGAGGGGCTGTTGCCTAGCTGGTGAATATCACATATTGCATTGTCCTAATGGGGAGAAGGACCTAAGCTCTCTAGAATTCCCTTACAACTAGACAGACACGACTGTTTTCCCTGTGAAATTACAAGTAAGCCCTGTCTGTGCATGGCTAACTACAACTCAAACGACTGACTCTCGCAACGCTGCTAGAATGCTCTCTGGACAAAAACTGACTGCAGGAAAAGTGAGAGGGCGGTCCAGGCGGGGCAGAGCCGGCGGGGCGGCGAGTCTGGCTGGGTTAGAGCAGCCGAGCACTCCAGGCCCAGAGGCTCCGGCAAGGGCGCCTCCATATGCGGAACTCTCGCCCAATCCCCGAGCAGCCTCACATCCCGTGACCGCCGGGGAGCCTGTTTGGAGAAAAGTAGAGAGGGAGCCCGCAAGCTGCGCTGGCGGAGGGCGCTGGAACCTGGCTGCTCCGGAGAAAATGTCTCCTTGGCAGCCGCGGCCGCTATCCTGCGGTCTGGCTCCCCCGGGCCGGGTCGGCGCTGGGGGAGGGAGAGCAGAGGGGCGGTGTCGGGCGCGGGCGTTTCCCCGCCCAGGTCCACACCGCCGCGAAGGAAAGAAAAGCAAGGATCCCGCGTGCCCGGGGGGTCGCAGGGCTCGCCCTTGGCCGGGGCGGATGACAGCAGCCCGGGGCTGCGGAGCATGGGCCTCCGGAGCGCGGCTGAGCCCCTGGTTCCCCGGGTGGGTCGGTGTGGCATCTGACCTGGGGTAGGTTCATGCACACACCCCGTACGCCCTCTTCTGCAGCCCTCGGCTCTGCAGCCCCCGCGCCCCGGGCCTTGGACCCGCGACCTCGGTGAGATGCCAGCAGCGTGCAAGTGCCGCGGGAGGGAACCATGTTCACCTTGCCATGCACACATCCACCCCCACGCCCTGTGTCACAGCCCAGCGAGCCTTTCTGCTTCCCAGCCCGCGATGCCCCGCGATGCCCTGCCCTCCTGCCCTGCCCTGCCCGGCCCGGCCCAGCCCTCTCTTGGTGCTCCCCACACCCGCATCCGTAACTGCCCCATTCCGATGCCGGCCACCCCAGAGCAAGCATGGGGAAAAAGAGGGAGAGAGACGGGTTTTTCCTGTGAGCAAATATATCTACCTGGATCGAATTCAGGGATCCGAGCTTGGTATTCAGCTCCGACTCTCATCCCAACATCTGCAAAGCAATGCCAAGAAATATGGTAAAATGATAATAAATTCGGAGAGGCGCGGGGAAAGGCGAGGCGGAGGCTCTCAAGCCGCGGGAGCGCGGGCGAGGCCGCGGCCGGGTGGGGGCGGGGAGGCG